TAGATAGATAGATAGATAGATAGATAGATAGATAGATAGGGTAGATATAGATGTAGAATGGATGGATGGTTATATACTAGATGGACAATGATAGAATGAATCAGTAGATGGATGATATGATGGATGCATGCATGGATAAACAAACATATGATGGATAGATAGATGATGGCTCATATGTGCAATAAATTATGCAAAATAAGAGTTACTCATATGGTTTTGTCCAATTTAAAGAGTACATTTTCTCACGCACATTTTCTCAAGCAACTTCTTGTCCCTTCTTTTCCTCCCCCCCCCCCCCCCCCGCCAAGTATATCCAAAAGAGAAGGATTCTGGGAAAATCTCCATTCTGTGGTTCTCCTGGCCTTTGTCCAGAGGAGGAATTCCCCCCAAGCGGTTGGCTGCTGAGTCTCCTCTGCTGTATATAACTTACCTGGTTATCTTCCAGGTTGATGTCCTGCAGGAGGTTGTGGTCTTCCAGACCCTCCAAGCTGCTGATCTGGTTGCCGGACAAATCCAACACTTGTAACACCTTGAGTTTTTCCAAGCCAACTGCTGTTTTGATCTCGTTCGATTTCTGCCAAAATAATTAAGGTAAAGGTTCCTGTGATGACCCAAAGCGACGTGGCACAAAGGCAACACAGTCAGATAATCAGCAGGCGTCCCTTTATCTCCAACTTTGCCCCCAATGTCCTGGTTACCTTCTGAGCTGGAGAAAAACTCGCCCAGGAACAGCCTTTGGCTGCCAAGAATCAAGTCGAAAACGTGGTCAACAAAAACTTTAACTATAAATCCAATCAAGGCTAGATGAGGTAATTATTCTGGCAGGGCAGGAGAAGGAATTTCAGATGTGAAGGCACAGCAATAACTCAACACAGTTGGGAAGATGCCAGGAACAGAAATAAACAAAGTCAACACAAAATAAACTCACGTTTGTTCCCAGCAGATGCCACACTCAGTTTGCATCTCTTTTAAACTCTCTTCCCAGCTTTGGCTAATGAAGGGAATCAGGGCCCTTTCCTCCCCTGTAAGCCACACAACCCATGTTGCTCCCTTCTCCATTCTTCCCTGCGTGCCCTAGGATGAAGAGGGGGTGGGCCTGGCTCTTCCTCTGAACTCCCTCTCCCTTGTTCTACCTCCCCCCTGCTCTGCCCAGCCGGACTTTGCCCTTCCCCAGTTTCTCCCACAGCCAACGGAGCCACACTCCCACTCCCTGTCAGCTGCTCATCTTCCTCCTTGGATTCAGACTCCAACAGGGGCATGACAGTTCCCCTTGCACATATGTGCTAGTCGTTTTCAGCTCTAGGGGGCGGTGCTCATCTCCATTCCAAAGCCAAAGAGCCAGCGCTGTCCGAAGACGTCTCCGTGGTCATGTGGCCGGCAGGACTAAACGCCAAAGGCGCACGGAACGCTGTTCCCTTCCCACCAAAGATGATCCCTATTTTTCTACTTGCATTTTTTTTACATGCTAGCTTGGCAGAAGCTGGGACAAGTAACGGGGACTCGCTCCGTTACGCGATGCTAGGGATTCGAACCGCCGAACCGCCGATCTTTCCGATCGACAACCTCAGCGTCTTAGCCACTGAGCCACCGTGTCCCTCCAAAATAGGAATGAGCCTCCATTATCCAAAACATAGTCATTCTTTGGGCAAATCCAAGCACAAGCAAGGACCCACACTGCCGGCTTTGACACCTGCTTGCAACATCATTGTGTACACAGGTGGTCCTTGACTCACAAGAGTTAGTGACCGCTCAAAGTTACATCGTCACTGGGGAAAAAAGGGAACGATGAATATTCTTCACCCATTAGGACCGCTGCGGCATCCCCATGGTCACATGATCAAAATTCAAATGACCCGTATTGACAACAGTCGCAGCGTCCCAGGTCAAATGATCCCCTTTGTGACCTTCCAACAAGGAAAGTCAAGGTGGGAAGCCAGATTCCCTTAACAGCCCTGTGACTAATTTAACAACTACAGTGATTTCGCTGAACAACGGTGGCAAGGATGGTTGTAAAATGGGGCAAAACTCACTGAACAACTTGTCTCACTTAGCAATATAAAAGTTGGGCTCAAATGGGATTGTAGGTTGAGGATTATCTGTATTATCCCCAATCTGGAAAAGTCTTATTGTAATTGCTCCCTGCGTTAACATCGTTGTTCTAGGTGGTGCAGTGGTTAGAATGTAGTAGTGCAGGCTAATTCTGCCGACTGCTGACTGCCTCCAGCCTGACCGGCTCAGGGTGGACTCATCCTTCCGAGGTGGGTAAAATGAGGACCCAGATTGCTGGGGGGGGGGGGAGCCCAAGATGCTGACTCTGTAAACTGCTTAGAGAGGGCTGCAAAGCACTGTGAAGCGGTGTATAAGTGTCAGTGCTACTGCTATCTATCACCTATCTGTGGTGGCACAGTGGTGTGACTGCACTATTGCAGGCTAACTCTGCCGACTGCCTGCAGTTCAATCCTGAACCGGCTCAAGGTTGACTCTGCCTTCCAAGGTTGGTAAAATTAGGACTCTGATTCTTGGGGGCAAGAGGCTGACTCTGCAAACTGCTTAGAGAGGAGTGGAAAGCACTGTGACACGGCATATAAGTCTCAGTGCTACCGTGTTTCTCCAACAATACGACCTCCCCCAATAGGAAGACCCAGCATGTTTTCTAGGCATAAACAGATTGGAGCTGCCACTGCATTTGGAGCTGCCGCTTCCATGTTTGCAGTGCTGCCGCTGTTTGGAGCACTGCTGCTGTTTGGAGCTGCCACTTCCGCATTTGGAGCTGCCACTGCGTTTGGAGCTGCCGCTTCCACGTTTGGAGTGCTGCCGCTGTTTGGAGTTGCCATGTCCGCATTTGGAGCTGCCGCCGCGTTTGGAGCATTGCCGCTGTTTGGAGCACCACCGCCATTTGGAGCGCTGCCACCACTCCAAACACGGTGGCAGCTCCAAACATGACGGTGGTGCTCCAAATGGCGGCGGCACTCCAAACATGGAAGCGGCAGCTCCAAACGTGGCGGCGGCATGGGCAGAAGGGAAAGCAACAGCGGCGGGTGCCAAAGGTCTTGGGTCTGCAGCAAAGGTGTTTGGTGGGAGTAGGGAGCTCTCTGCGCTTCGCCATGATCACCCGTTAGGAGCGGCTGGTGGCGAGGCTGCCCGCGGGGCTCTCTAGATGAGGATGCAAGGGGGGTAATTAAGTCACCCCTGAAAAGACGGCCTAGCCATTTTTTCGGGGCTCAAAAAAATATAAGACCCGGCCTTATTTTATGAGAAACACGGTATTGCTAAGTGGGAAGGAAGGAAGGAAGGAAGGAAGGAAGGAAGGAAGGAAGGAAGGACCGTGGTGGCGCAGTGGCGAGACTGCAGCATTACAGGCTGACTCTGCCCACTGTCAGGAGTTCGATCTTGACCGGCTCAAGGTTGACCGCTTAGAGAGGGCTGTAAAAGCACTGTGAGGTGGGCTATAAGTCTAAGGGCTATTAGTAAGTGCTAAGGAAGGAAGGAAGGAAGGAAGGAAGGAAGGAAGGAAGGAAGGAAGGAAGGAAGGGCCATGGTGGGGCAGTAGTGAGACTGCAGTATTGCATTTTAACTGTCCATTCCCACAGCCAGGAGTTCAATCCTGACCGGCTCAAGGTTGACTCATCCTTCTATCCTTCTCAAGTCGGTCAAATGGGGACCCAGATGGTTGAAGGACGACAGGCTGACCCTGTAAACAATGCTGGCTCAGGAATTCTGGGAGCTGAAGTCCACAAGCCATCAAAGGGCCCGCGTTCTCCGACCTCTGATGTAGGGCTTCCAACCCCACCATCATCCTTTCACGACAAGCCAACATATGACGGTCAGGAAATTGTACAAGGTTGCAATGACAATAAAGTAAACTAAGCTAAAGAAGTTCAACTCGGGCCACCCATGAAAAAACTCACCAGGCAGAGGGTTTTGATGGGCAAATCTTTCAAGCCGGTAATTGCTTGGATCTGGTTGTTGGCTAAGCTCAGGTCGGTCAGGCTGTAGCAATTCTCCAGGCCCTGAATCTCCGCAATGCTGTTATCTGCACGTCGGCATGAGAATTAAGAAATAAAAACGGCAATGTAGACGGAGAGGAGGTCAAAGCTCACAGATGGAGGCCTGGGGAGAAAAGCTCCACGCCTTGAAGAGAAACCTGGGGGAGGCGTTGACTGGAGCGAGCGACGGGCAACTGGCACCCTCACCAAACATCTTCTTGGCGAAAGTTCTGAGGAGATTCAACTGGTCATTTGCATCCTTTTTTGGAGAGTCGTTGAGGCCACCTGGGAGTTTTTTTTTCTTTCTGCGTCCTCAGGGACACCTGAGTGGTGCAAATGGTTGTGTGGAGCCTTCTTGGATTCTAGGGGGCAGAAAACATCCTGCAGAAAGCACAGCTCCACAAGACAGTCCTTCTCGCAGTTCCAAGGGGCCTCAACGACCCTCTAAAAGGAATGCCAATGACCAGCTGTCTGCAAGGAGTTATCGATTCTCCCATTCTCCACCATCCGGTCAGAACTGAGGAAGCTTCTTGGAGGAGAAGGAAAACATCTTCAAAAGAAAAAAAACAAGAAAGTCCAGTTGCCTCCTGAAAAAAAAAAAAAAAAGCACCTTTGGGACTCCTTGGTGGTTTTCCTTCCTTAAAAATGCTCCAAAAATCAAAGAGCTCTGGAAAAAGCAAAATTGTGTTTTCGAGAGAAACATTCTTGAAAGCCCTCTGCTCTTCTAGACAGACGGGGCTCAGTGGGAATCTAGAGATCTGCTCTGGCTACTTCCTTGTTTGTCCCAAAGTCCAGGCAACTGGGACTTCCTGGGTTTGTTTTTTTCCCCTAGAAAACATTTCGCTTCTCATCCAGGAGGCTTCTTCAGTTCTAGTGTCAGTTCTAGAACTTTTTCAGTGCTAACATGACGTTAGAACTGAGGAAGCTTCTTGGATAAGGAGCGAAACGTTTTCGAGGGGAAAAAAACCAAACAAACTAGGAAGTCCAGTTGCTTTTTTGGAAAAAAACCTCTTTGGGACAACCATGACCTGGATGATTGAGAAGCTCCATTCTTCCTTGTAGGGTCTCCTGCTTGGGTGGGGGGGTTGGACTAGATGACCTACAAGGTCCCTTCCAAGTCTATTATTCTGTAAATTTAATCTTCTGACATTTCCAGGCAGGGCTGGGAAAAATTCTTTTCTGAAACTTAGGAAAAAAAAAAAAAAACAATTGGGAAGCTATAGCCATACCGGGCTGGAGAGACCAAAGCTCCAGCTTACTACAGGTAGTCCTCGGCTTACGACCAAATTTACGTTGCTAAGTGAGACCTTGGTTAAGGGTGTTCTACCCCATTCTTGTCCCGGTTGTTAAGCGAACCATCGCCATCATAACTCAACAATTGCAATGACCCACTTAGCCACAGAGGGAAGAAAACTCGTAAGATGGTGCAAAACTCACTGAAGACGTTTCGCTTAGGCGGCAGAAACTTTGGGCTCAATTACGGTTGTAAGCCGAGGACTACTACCAGTATGCAGATCAGGGAGCTTTGATTATCTCGGGGGGGGGGGGAATTAAGAATAAACTCAGTCTAGCAGGAGGTTAAGCAAATGTTGATGGTTTCTAAGCAACATTTATACACTGTGTAAATGTTAGTCTTGAGCCATTGGGGCAACTGACTCAGGATTCCCAGGGGGAGAAGCTGCACAGGAAGAATATTTTTAATATTCCACATCTCGAAATCAGAAACATGGTTAAAGTTTCCAGTCTCTCTTTACTGACTTCACTGTGCATAGTACCTCACTCAAGGGAGGTACTAATACCACTCTATAAAGCCTTAGTAAGACCACACCCAGAGTCCTGCATCCGGGTTTGGTTGCAGGAACTGGGCCTGGCTAGTCTAGGGAAGAGAAGGACCAGGGGAGGCAGGAGAGCAGACTTCCAGTATTTGAGGGGCTGCCCAAGAGAGGAGGAAAGGGGTCAAGCTATTTTCTAAAGCACCCGAAGGTCAGACAAGGAATAATGGATGGAAACTGAACCAGGAGAGATTCAACTTGGAAATAAGGAAGAATTTTCTGATGGAACCAATGGAATGAAGTTGCCTTCAGAAGTTGTGGGAGCTTCATCGCTGGAGGCTTTCAAGAAGAGACTGGACTGCCCTGTGTCAGAAATTGGGTAGGGGCTCCTGCATCAGCCGAGGGTTAGACTAGAAGACCTCCAAGGTCCTTTTCCAGCTCTATTCTGATTGAAATTGATCTCCCCTTGATAGGTTTGCATTCATTATTACTTGAACAGCCCTTTTGGTGGTTTGGAGGTGTTCTCCAAAGCACCCGAAGGCCAGACAAGGAAGAAGGGATGAAAAGTGATCAAGGAGAGATTCAACCTGGAAATAAGGAGGGATTTTCTGACAGGGAGAACCATCAACCTGTGGAACAGCTTGTGGGAGCTTCATCGCTGGAGACTTTCAAGAAGAGACTGGACTGCCATTGGTCAGAAATGGTGTAGGGTCTCCTGCTTGGGGCAGGGGGTTGGACTAGATGACCTACAAGGTCCCTTCCAACTCTTGTTCATCTGTTAAAGCACAGTCTTTTTGAGTAGGGGGAGAAATATATGCTGGATAAATTCTTCTGCTTCAAGCACTCATATTATCGTTCCGCGTTTGAGAAAAAGGAAGCTGCTCGTATTAAACCGGGGGATGAAAAACAACAAATAAATCTGAAAGGCTATTTAAGCCAGGAGAATTCCTCTCAGGGTATATGGCTCTCTGCTCTGGAGGCAGGAGAGCATTTCCAAGGGACCCGTTACCGAAGCATCGGTCCCAGTCTGAAGACAATTCAAAGGAAAATGACGTCAATGTGTCTCTTGGCGCACGATATACATAACCAGCAGTGTGTTATGGAGGCCGTAGGAAGAGCCTGGCGGCAAAAGACTCAGTATCAACTCATAAAATATTTCTATGGTCTTTTTAGAGTTGCCAACGGAAAGGGTGGGTGGAGCAGTGTGGCAGCTTGCAAACCGAAACTGCATTCCATTAATGTTTTCAAAGATAGTAACCAGGTGACTGAAGTTTCTGCTGTGCAAAAATTCTAGCTGGAGAGCCTGATTGATGACTCTGGGCTATGGACGTGTCCCATTGGAGGATATGAATTATGATACACCCGGGGGGGGGGCGGGGGAACCAGGGTCAAGGGTGACAATGAATGATGTGTCTCAGAGTCGGCTACGCCCAGGCAGTGCCGGACATGGTAACTCCCAATAAATCCTTTGGAAGTTTTGGACGTTTGGCTGGAGATTCATGATTTCAATGGGGGCAACTGCCAAGAATCCCGACAACTGGATTTTTTTTCAAGCAATTTGCAAGCGGTCCTCATCTTACGACCGCAATTCGGCCCGAAATGCCTGTCGCCGAGCCAAACATCGCTTCAAGGAAATTCTGCCCCGTTTTACAATTTTTCTCGCCGCGCCTGTGAAAGGAATCACTGCGGTTGTGTTGAGTTAGTAAGGTGGCCGTTAAGTGAATCCAGCCCCCTCCCGGTTGACTTCACTGGTTAGGAGGTCGCAGAAGGAGGGAATCGCGTGACCTCCGGGACACTGAGACCGTCATAAATAGGAGTTGGTTTGTCAAGTGTCTATTGTGGTTCGCCGGCAACAGGTGCGGACGGCTGAGGTCTCGGAGAGCGAGGACTCAGATGAGGGGCCTGCGTGTGATGCAGGGATGGGGCCAGGACCATCAGGGAGTGAAGTTCTGCTTTGGAGAGTGTGGAGGCTGGCAGTAGTGATGAAGAGCACCCCGAGGAGCCTGTGCCAACCCTGCATGCGTGCAGGGCTGCTTGAAGGAAAGAGCAGCTGCAGCAGCACGGGCGACTCGGGAGGAAGGCTGCAAGGTCTATGGCCCCTCTCTTGAGACAAAAGCCAGCTGAGAAACCAGAGTTCTTGGCAGGAAGCAAAGAAGTTTTTGCACTCGAGCCTTGTGGACGTTCGGGATATCTTGGTTGGTGTTTGGAGGCTCTTTGTGTTTGAATTATTGCTTAGTAACTTTATCTGGTGTTCTTGGCAGCCTTGCCCAACCTTGGCAAGGCTCTTTCTTATCGGAGCTAATTGGTTTGAAACAGCCTTTTAACTGGGAAGGAACAGGCTTCGTAAGGAATCATTAAAAGGTTGTGCTGTTACCTCTGCCTCGTGTTTGCTTCCTTGGAACCAGGTTTGGGTCAGAACGGCGTCTGAGTTTTGATAGCATGATCCTGGGGGGCTGCAGCGATGGGCGTAAGTATGACAAACAGTTGCTTTTCCCCCCAATGATGTTGTAACTTTGAATGGTCACTAAATGAATCGAGGACCATTTGTATAAAGAAAGGGACTTCGGTCACACAGCCAACGTTGCTTTTTGTGGAGCTGGATAAAAAGAGCTTTTAAAAACAACTGGATTTCGAGGAGGCCTTCAACGGAATTGCGTAGCAAATCCAACCCCCCAAATTTGATACCGGGTGGTCCTCAACTTATGACTATTCGTTTAGTGACCGTGCAGAGTTACAACGGCACCAGGAAAAGCGACTTAGGAGCTTTTTTCACACTTACGACTGTCGCAGTGTCCCCGTGGTCACCTGATCAAACTTCGGACGCTTGGCAACTTGACTCACAGTTATGACGGTTGCAGCGTCCTGGGGGATAATGTGATCTGCTTTTGCGACCTTCCGACGAGCCAAATCAACGGGGAGAGGCTGAATTCATTTAACAACCGTGTCATTAACTTAATGACTGCAGCAAGGATGGTCGTAAACTGAGGCAAGGCTCGCTTAAACGACTGCCACGATCAGCAACAGACATCTGAAATCTTGCCCCAGGAAACTGCGGCAAGAAAGGCGATCTCACGGGGCCGAAATTCACTGAACGACCATCTTGTTTAGCGACGCAAATGTTGGGCTCCAATACGTCGTAAATTGAGGACCACCTGTACATTGAGAGTGGTTTTGTAACATGAGGGCTGGGGTGAAGGAGCTCTTCACAAAATAACCATCACAAGTAGGTTTGATTGGTCCGAAAATATCCGGTGGATGGAAGATAAATTAAACCTTCATCCTATCAGGATGTTTACAGAGCTAATTGCTGCAATTAGAATGGTTGCCTTTGTAATGCAGCTTGAACCTTCCTGTTCATTCATTTATTTATTTTTAATTAAAAAAATATCTTTTTTGAAAAGGCAGCTTGGACAGGGAACCTACTGGGATCCAAAGAAGGTCCTGCCCTGTTCTAAATGCATCATTTTAATTTTAATTTTTTTTTATTTTTAAAAAAGGATACTGTCCAGGATGAGCGTTTTGAGGGACTGATAATTGGAAAGGTCTTGCATTTCAGGAATATCGTTGTAGGAAAAATTAGCCACCTGGAAAGAGAACAAAAAAAAAATAAATGGAAAAGGATACATAAAGGTGTCCTAATCAACCAGCAGTCAGAAGACATGAGGAAAACTCAAGTGTGCAACACATGGACACAGACCTAACCGTAGTTTCAACAGGGAAACTGTGAGCATCGTAGACCAAGCCAAGTCCAAAATCCCTAGATAATTCCTGGAAGCTGGCACTCTGACAAAAACAGCCATCAATGGGCACACTGAGATAAACAACGTTTACATACCGTTTGAAAGAGACTATCACGAAGCTGAAAAGGAAGTCTAAAACAGAACCTTGCCAGCAATCAACACTGAGATAAGCTTAACGCCAAGATTAACATTAAACCAACAATTAAGGATACCCCAATCAAATAAACAACAACCTAATTAAGGAATGAGCAAGACCACTTCTAGCAACATCAGTATATAAACAGAGAGCAAACCCCGCTCCCCTCTAGCCCTGATGATGTTACTTAATTGGGTCTGCAAGAAAACCACCAAGCTCGGAGAGCACCAAGGACCTCAAAGAGCTTCCTCCTCCTCCTCCTCCTCCCTCCTTCCCAGCACTGATGATGTTACCTAGTTGGGTGATGAAACGTCTGCAAGAAAACCACCAAGCTCAGAGAGCACCAAGGCCTCACCATTCAACTCTGAGCTACAAATATTCTATTGCTGTCTTCTACCCCAGCCCAGCCACCATCATCCAATTCAGGATAATTTGGAAAAACAAGAAAGAAAGAAAGAAAGAAAGAAAGAAAGAAAGAAAGAAAGAAAGAAAGAAAGAAAGAAAGAAAGAAAGAAAGAAAGAAAGAAAGAAAGAAAG